GGGCATCATGTTAAATGCAATAAACCAGACTTAGAAAGACAAACATTTTCTGTTTTCACCCATTTTTGGCATCTCTGCTTAAATGGTTATGTTTTGATCTGCGCTGTTTCGTTGTTATGCCCTCTTTTATCTCAATCTCCACTCCATTATTTACTTTTTTATCTTTATCCTTTTAATTAAAGGAAAAAAATAGCAGGATATATTATAGTAACCCACTTTGACTTTTCATTACCTTGATTTAAAGCCCTGTATTACTCTCACCATCTGGTTTTTAACTGATGTTCCCCTATTCTGTTTTGCTGGATAGTATCAGGTTCGAAAGTTTAGGCATCAGCTGTAAAGATAATGAGATTCATTATGACGCCCATTCTTGTTGACTTTTATCTACTTTTGAAGACCTACAATGTCTCCAATGTTTTGGTTTTGTCAGTTTTATTCTTTACTGTTTTGTTCAATTGTATTATAACTAACGATATAGGCAATTCTATTAGAGATAGCGGGAGGCATTATGGTAACCATTGTTGATCACCTTGTATTATGTTTTTACATTATCTATTATGTCCACCCTTTTGACTTGACCGATTCTGTTCTGTTATGTTACATTTGGTTTTACTCTCTTCCAAAAAAGTAATAAGAACCGTGGGAGCAATGAAACCCAAAATGTGTAATAGTCATGGTACAAAAGAGAGGAAAAGAAAGTGCTCCAAACTATATAACTGCATGTATATTTAAGTGTATAAGATAGAAAATGATATCACAGAGTTTTATTGGATCAATGAACAGAACTGTTTGCAGTATCATTGATGGAATGTCAACTTTACAAGCTTTAATTTTGTGACTTGAACAATTATTTCTAAGATGACAATATGTAATCCATTAACTAGTGATTTCCTACTGTTCATTTTTTTTCTGTAAATCTGTATAACTTGTACCCTTTCCCTGCTTTTTTTTTTCTTTTCTCCATAAATAAAATTAAAAAAAAAATCAGGAGAAAAATAAATGGCATGAAAGTAGAAAGGAAGGAGAGGATTGAGACAAAGGATAGATAAGGAGGATAGAAAATGAAGGACAAAGTATGTTATGCACACACACACACATATCCCCAAAAAGCCCACCATTCTGTGGTAATAAAATAGGATGGAAGTGAAATTGCACAGTCTTGAAGTGGTAGAATGCAGATAAAATATACCTAATCAATGCTAATAAGAAAAAGGTAGGAGATCTGTTTTCTATTGGGGAAAAAAATAAACAAGACAATACTTTCAGATTACAAGTACTTCTATTGTCATGGAAGAGTTGGCCCAACTTACGGGGTTAATGTACTTGCAGTCAGTTCCAGACTCCCTTCCTTGGCAGGTTTCCCACCAGGCCCCCTTCTGTTCTTTTCCACGGTGCAGTGAGCAGTGGATCCAAGGGGAAGAGCTATATTGGCTCTCAGTGAGTGCTGGAAATTGGGACCTGGGGCCCTTTGAAGCAGCCAGAGCCACCTGGCCATGATGGAGGAGATTGCAAGAAGACCATACACCTGGGCTCCAAAGCTGGGCAACACTCAGTTTTCTGACCAATGCACGTGGTGCTGGGAGTTCAGTGAAGACATGTGGCACAGTGTGCAGTGGACCCAAGAGGAAGAACTGCATTGATTCCCAGTGAGTGCTAGGTTTTGGGTCTCGTGGCTGCTGTCACTCGCTGGAGGCCATCTTGGAATTGGGCAGAGCCCGGCACCGAGGCAGCATCAGAAGACTGGTGGAGGACATCTTGGAGTTGGGCAGAGCCCTACACTGCAGTGACATCAGTCAGCCACCCCTGGCACAGAGAGAACTAGCAGGGTCTGCTGGGGCTTGACTATATTAAGCCTGATGATATGACAAGTCTATTGAAAATAACAAGAGAAAGCATAGTAACTATCGTAGATCACGTAATATTGTGGTCTTATGTGTCTTTTTCATTGCATGTTTTCCTAGCAATTTGTTTTGTCATCTTGTTATGATCTGTTTTTCCCTATAATACAGGTAGGATAGATACACATGTAGAAATTCACACATGGGAATAATTTTTTAAACTATTTATGGGAACAGATTATATAATGCAAGATGTAATGAACAGATACTCTGAAGAAGAAGAGACACTAAGAAACCCAATGCTAATTCTGTAACATTATGATATAAAATCTAGCAATACTGTTATTCACTGTTCAGAGTGATTTTAGTCTAGTCTCTTAAGTTCAATTTCAGCATACATAAAGATAAGGACAACTACTATGAAGAGAATGAGAGACATTATGATAGTCATTATTGACTTCCTCAATGTCAGATCTTGAAGACCTAAAAAGCCTTCATCATCCTGTAATGATTTGATTAGTTCTATAATATGCAGTATGTATTCAACGTGTGCGAAGATGGGGACAACTATTTGGAAGAAAACTAGAGACAATATGATAGACAGTGAAGATCTCCAGTGGACTTGCTTTGAAATCTGTATTTCTTTAAATTGTTTCTTTATGAACTGTTTTGTTCTGTTTTGATATGTTTAATCTTACCCTGTTTAAGATAAAAAAAAAGTGTGTAGAACTGATAACCATATTATTAAGTTTTTGTTGGATCATTGAGTAGAACTTTTGGCAGTGTCACTATTTGAATGTCACTTTGTATGCTTTAGTTTTGTAACTTAAACAACTATTTGTAAGATGACAATATGTAACTTATCAACTAGTGATTTCTTACTGTTTATTTTTCTGTAATTCTGCATTATTTCTACCCTTTTATTTGTCTCTGGTTTTTTTTGTTTCTTTCTCTTTAAATAATAAAAAAAAGATTACTATAACTTGCATTTCAAAGACAACTGTAATTACTCTGTCATCCTTAAACTCTTCCCACAGAGTCCAGGTTGGCACCATTGTACATGCAGGGAGCCAGTGTGGTGGGTCCTGCACTGATTCCAAGACTTCCTGAGCAGTGAGATGTAGCTTTGACAGGGGATGCTACCAAAGGACATCTGGTTGTTTTACATTTTATCAGAATTTTTCCCCAAAATTAGAAAATATCTTCTGAAGTCAGCTAGAGGAAGAGAAAGAGATAACAGATAAAGTGGAAAGGTATTTTTCTTTTTTCTTTTTTGAGACAGGCTCTCACTATGTAGCTCAAATTGGCCTGTAACTCACTACATCGACTGGCTGACTGTAGCTTCTGGTGATCCTCATGCCTCAGCCTCCAGAGTCCTGGGACCACAGGTCCCTCTAACTGCTCCAGAAGTACAAGCTTGCTTGTGGCAAGCATGCTCGGGTAGCACCGAGGCTCTCCGGAGGCAGACAGTAGGCTGCGTGGTGCTGTGCCTGAAGCCGTCTTTTGAAGAGTATATGTTCTCTTATTTTGAAACAGCAGCACTTCCTCCTTCCTTTTTTCTAGGATCCCTTTATATCAAAAGAGGCTTTTCCAAGTATCTTAAAGACTGCACTGTTGTGGAAGAGGGGGGAACATTCAGTCTCCTCAGGACATGGGACACACACGGTGTCCGCGGGTGCAGGTGAGCTGTTACTGTCCTCATCTGCCAGGACATAAACTTCAGCACAGACATGGACCAGGGGACATGCCCGGGCAGATAGAGAGCCAGCTGCAATTTTGTGTTTGGTGTGCTTTCCACATCCCAACCTTAACCCAGACAGGCACAGGCAGGTCTGGAAGACCAGCTGTGAAGCACCAGGTCCAAAATCCTGTCATGACCTCCAAGTCAGCCTCCTCCACAGAGATTCAGTTCTGATTTGTCAGTCCACAATGTTTCCCTTGTGACTCTTTCTTATGAGTATCTTTAAAGATAACTTAGTTGTACAAAATGCATCAAGATGTGTTGGGTACTTGTACCCCCTCCCCAGAAAAATGGAACCATCACGTTCTGCAAATATGCTCTAATAAAATGTAATTTAGTTGGTATTAGAACTTTTATGTTTTGAAAATGTCCTTTTATTTTAACGGGTTTGAAGACTATTTCCTAGGAAGTTCACAATACTCACTTTCATATTTGAATTTATATAAAAATTTATTCAAAGATAAGGTCACCTAGTGTTACTGGAGAAGTCTGTGTAGTTAATGTAACTGGTATTCTAGATCCATCTGTAATAATACAGTGCCCGTATGATTTGCATAAATTACAGAAACATTTTTCTGGACACAGACCCTTTTTATCTCTTCTCAACCTTTGATATATTATTTTTTTGCTGTCTCTGGATTTGCTTTCCAGTACAATAGACAGAATTCCTACAATCTCCTCTTAAAAGATAATCCCTAGAAAGATCAACTAAAAATGATCTGATATAATCAAAGTACTGTACCATAAATCAAGAGAAAACAGCTCATTTTATGAATTAAAAATTATCTTGAGGTTCTTAGGAGCTGAATAGCATTTTCTTGGGCAATTTAGAAGTGAACTAAAATTATGGAAATAGATTGTGTTACCTGTTCTCATCACCACCGTTTAGACATCTGGACAAAAACCATACCTTATCATTTCTCAGCAGTGCAGTCCTAGTACGCTAGGTTTCATGTATCTGTAACTGATGAAAGGTAAAGTACGGTAAACCAGAGGCACACAGCAAACATGGGAGGTCATAAAAAGCGCTTCCAGAATGTGGCATCTTGCCATTGACCACAGCCCCTTGGAACGAGATAAAGTCATTGAAATGGTTAACAGATGTTAGCCACACTTGAATATAAAAGCTCTATTGCTAAAAATTGTGTAGGATCAGATGGAGATTTGGCTCTTGGACCATAACGTAACCGACTTGGCACATGGAAATTTGAGAGCCAGAGGCCTAACACACAGTGCTGGGCCACACACTTGGCGCACCATGCAGGAACTCGTAAACTACTAACGGCATGCACACTGCTAAGCTAAGCTGATTAAACACTAACACATACTGGATACTTAGGGAACCCTGATGTCTATGTTTTACATTTACTACATTAAAGAGTTACTTCTAGGAGACCAAAAAGTAGATTATTTACTTCCACTTCCAAAAGATGTCAACGGAGTTTTATTTATCTCAGCTTGCAATTTGCCCAATAGCTGCTATTGTTTCCCATTGACTTCACAGTCTATTCAGCAGAAATTTTGATAAAAGTGTCTTCTTTTTTCCATTCTTCTCTGTTATTTCTTGCTTCTGAATAAGATTAACACTGATTTCCAGGGGAATCTACATAGCCAAAGGGATCGTCTAAATCTTAGGTTATAAATAGATCCAAGTTAAGCACTGAAAGATGCTTGTGCTACTTTAGAGTTTGTAGTTCTGTTCACAGCTTTGCAGATAAAATCACCAGCTTCCATGACTTTGTAGAGATTCACACCCTGGTCAAAAAGGAAGGGACAGCAAAAGGGATGGGAAATTAGAAATAAGACAAACATGGATGCCTTTTAAGTTTACAGGTCATTACTTATTAATATTAAAATTGTTAAACCTTGTGTTGTTCATTCTCTATTGGGATGAAACCTATGTTTTTAACCATATAGTCAGCATTTCATATTTTTCAAACATGTATTGAATCTCATCTCCATAATAACATAAATTACACACAGCCAAATAACAGTGCCATTCAGGAGGACAGTTGTGGATTTAGAAAATAGCCCACAAAACATCACTAATGCACAATCTAAATAAAAACAGTTTGAAGGAGTTTACAAATCAGAACTGAAATAGGAAAAAAAAAAACCAATCTTGTTATCCTATAAAGAAAGAAGCTTGATAAAGACCTACAGATTGTAGCAAAAATGAATGCATAATTTTTTGCACATTCAGAATCACTATTACTGATGTAGTGCTGGAGGAGGTGGTTGGAAGCTGGGTAAAATGAAGTTACGTTTAGTACACATCTGGAATTTCTTTGCCCGAGAGGCTGTACTGCCTGGAAATATAAATAGGATCAACAAAAGCTTAGGCAAATCCAAGGATGACAGATACGAAGTTGGGTATGAAGGTGCACATCAGAACACGTTCCTCATCTCTGTGCTTGGGGTAACAACAGGTCACCACTGAAGTCTGCACCTAGCTCTGTTTCTGTCCCAGGAGTAGGTGGACTGCTCCTATATTTGCCCTCATGCAATGTTTCATAAGCTCCAATGTCCTCCCTCGATGCCAACTAAAAGCAGTAAAGGCTCAGAATGAAACACACTCAGCCCTTGTTGCCCCTTAGCAATAGTTATTAACACTGTGGAAGTCTGAATTTCCCTTAAAAGAGACAAGTGTGAATGCTTGTAAGGATTTTTATAACAACTATTGCTTCAGAAAGTGGAGCTATCTCAATCAATTTTTCTGGAAATAATGGGGTTTTTTTTGTAGTTTTGTTAAGGATGATTAAGAAAAATATTCCTAAATGACACTTCTCAACAACTTTTGTTATTTCTTTTTCATTGTAGAGTTGGTTTTAGGGCAGTAATGTGCATTTTGGTAGGAGAAATTTGATTTTGTAATACTGATGATATTTGATGGATTATCTGGCTGGAACAATTTACTCTAACAATCTTAATTCCTTGTGCTTCAAATTTGGTAAATGACTGGACTCAAATATCCTTCTCTTCTGAATTACTTGAAGCAAGGGTTAATGGGGAGGTTTAAATTATTCATGTTCTTCATTTTCTAAGCATTCCATTTATAACAATTAGGCCTGGAATGTGATGAAATATAATTTCCAAGGAGAATTTCTTTTTGGCCTTCATCATTTTTCAATAAACAGCTAGTATAATGAGATCATTATCATGCGATGATACTTCATTTATTTTTTTCTTCGTAAGGATCAAAGATTGAGTCCAAAGGGTGCTGAGCTACATCCCAAGCCTCCTCCTTTTTTTTTTTTTTTTTTTTTTCCTAACTTTGAGACAAGCTCTTGTTATGCTTGCCAGGCTGGCCTTGAACTTAGGATCCTCCTGCTTTTGCCTGTGAGCAGCTGGGATTGCAGGCAGGTGCCACCGTGCCTGGCTTTCATTTACATTTAAATAATTTATCAGGTACTTAAATATGTGCCCTGTGTGGTGATGCTTCTGGGGGTTTCCAGGCCCTCATGGAGAGTGTGGTTTCTGTCTTTGGGAGCTTATGCTCAAACAAGTAAGACAGAGACATAAAAAGAAACTCTGCTTTATTTAAAACTGCAGATAGAGATGTGTCCAGGTAATGGTGGAGACAGAGCATGGAGCATCTGACCTATGGTGAAAAAGGAACAGACAGAACATGCTGCAGGGCTGTGCGGAGCGAGGAGCCCTGATCTGAGCTGTAAATGGAGAGGATGAGCCCAGGAGAGGAAGGAGTGTGTGACTCACTGCAGGCCATGAGAGGAGCTGCACAGGACGTTGGAGGCTCTCGGGGTGTACACGCTGGGTGACAGGCAGTGTGCACAGAGGATGACGAACAAACAGTGCAGTGCACGTGGGAAGGCGTACAACACACCTGCCAACTGGAAAGGGTGCACACAGGCAGGACCGTGTGACAGCACAGCCCTGCTTCCAAGGCCATTTGTTCGGAGGCACACTTGTACTTTCATTTTTTTTTTTTCTGCTTTATTGGTACATTTTATGTGTACATGGTGATTACATTCATTCCGGGAAATTTGTATCTGTACATGCTATATCTCACTTCTGTTTGTTCTATTCTCCTCCCCTCTCTTTAGCCCGCTTCTTCTCTTTATTTACAAAAGCTTTGTGTCCATTTTTTCCTCCAATTCTTTTTATTTTTCTTGTCCCTTCTTTCTCCATCCCTAGTTCCCCTTCTCATCTGAACATTTCCTTTCCACTTTGCAATATCTCTTCTCCATTTTGGTCCTTATTTATACTTTCAGTTGTTCACACCAGAGAAACAATGCAATATTTGCTTATGTGTGTCCAATCTAAGAGTACGATCTGCAGGCGCATCTATTCACCTAGAAACGTCTCAGGCGCCTCCGCCCACATCTCCTTTGTCCACTCGTGCTTTATGTTAGAGAATCCCTTTGACGGCAGCGTAGAGGCTGAATGTGAAGGGAAGTCTGAAGCCATGGCCCATGCAGAGAATGAACACTGGGGAAGTGTTTAACACCCGTGCCGGTGTGTCCCTAACAAGGATGAGAGGGAAGAAGCAGTCACCACAGCGTTTCTGCAGTCTCTCGTGAGGTCCCCAGTTACTGAATGGGCCTGGGACGCAGAGGGACATCGGCTCATCAGCCTGAGTCACTGGTTGCATTACTCAATGCCATTATCCTCCTCGAACTGCACAGTCCTTAGCACCAGACCTATCTACAAGTGCACACATGGTTAGGGAACAGGACCTGACAAACAGTATCAGCTGTCCAACGAGCTCCGCTCACTCAGCCAAACTCCAGGGAAAGATGGCTTTTTCTCCAGTTCGTCATCTCCTTCTGACAGAAATGATTGAGCTACTTTGCAAATGAAACATTTGTTCCTAACTAGAGACAAGCAATAGCTTTTGGTGTTTATAGACAACAGCTGTGGGCAGTTGGTGCCAAGTGAACGCTCAATAAATATTTATTGAGCATCTTTATGTCACAAGCACTGAGTATGAATAAGCTGTAATCATTGCTCTCTGGCTGCACAGGAAGCTAGACTCGTAAACAAGACTCCGAGGTAGCATCATGGTGTTTGCAGAGGTAAAGCTATTAAGGACAACAGGAAGCCTGGAAGGAGGATGGTCCCAGCGCAGTGTGGGGGACAGACAGGGAGCCCCCGGAAGCAAACATGTTTAGGATAGCGGTGACTCACTTTGCAGGAGAAACCGAGCATGTGCATGAGACCATTCCAAGTGAGGGTGACGCGTGAGGGTGGTGATGAGGAAAAGAACAGGGACAGCAAGAAGCTGGTTGTTTCAGGAGCCTCCACAGAACCGGAGTAAGAAAGAGGAGAGACAGGAGATAGAGACTGGAAAATTCATTCTGTAATCCAGATGATGCTTTTATCTCTCAGGAAGCACTTCGGATGGTTAGTAATCTGTGAAGAGTTTTCTTGCCCTTCATATTTCCTCCATAGGTAGCCTGACTGATAAATTTTCAGCCTATAGGTGGATGTGATCGCATAGCATGTGACTTCCCTGGTGCTACTTGGGAAAGGGTTAGTGCCAGCTGGTGTCTCACGTGCCAACCACCTGAGAGAAGAGAAAGCTCTTTTCTCCCACTGATGATTGAAAAGTGCCCTGGGTGAGTGTCCACAAGCCTTGTTGTTACCTGAGACTGTCAAGATCTCAGTTTCCTCCAAGGAAACAACCACACAAGTAACAAAATTGAAAGAACAATAGCGAAAATATGGGCTCTAACGCACAAAGTATACAAAATCAAAGCAGTGAGTGTATGTAAAAGCACTCTGGGTTCAGAACACACTTTGTGAAACAGTAATACTGTTGATGATGATTGAGCTGTAGCAATCCCTGGGGGAAAAATGTATTTCCCAGAGCTCATTTTAGCAATTGTGTAATAAGCCTTTGATCTCAAAATTGCTTCCCAAATCTGAGAAGCATTCCAACTTGAAGTTGCAAGGAACACGTACATGTTGACACACATTCCAGTAACTTACTGTGTCGATGCCCAGGCCGTGAAGCATGTATATCAGGTCCTCAGTGGCCACGTTCCCAGAGGCGCCTCGTGCATAAGGACACCCTCCTAACCCCGATACCGCAGAGTCCACCACATTAACTCCCATCTGGAAAATAAACCAAAACACCTGAACTGTATATGCTTACGGCACGTGAACTGTTTTGTCTCTGCTTAACGTGTGGCACAGGGCAAATATGCAAAATCTGAGCCTTCAGTCAAAACACCCCCTGGCCCTTATGGTACAGCAGCAACTCCCCATGCTCATTTCTCCTCTGACCAGTCTTCTCTCTCAGACCAGCAGAGGCCCTGTAAGTATCTCTGGACCTTGAAGAAGCTTGCATCAAAATCAATGTCGGCCTGTCTGTCTGTTTGTTTTGATAACAGCACAACTCTGTAGGTGGCAGATCCTGAAATAAAGTTATTTCACTCCAAGGTCATATATATTCTCTTATTCACTAGCTTTCTCCTAAAGGCATGGTATAAACATGGAATACTTCCAACATCCAGAATAAAAATCAAAGTGCCTCAGAAGATTCATACTGTGCATGGGGTGGGGAGGCATAGTGCCATGACTGTGCTTACAATATAGTATACTGTGGCTCAACTCACCTCGCCCTTACAGAAGCATTATTTTGCACACAAAACTCTGCCCTTTGGAAGAAGTGGGAAGATATATAGGAAGCAGGATACTAAGTCACATTTATTTGTCCCTCAAAACCCACAAAAAGATAGTTGTCACCTGAAGAGAGGAAACAGGTGCAGAGAAATCATGCCCTTGGTCCAAGTTCATCAGATGAGCGAGTCCCCTGTCTGTTGAGAACTCACACACTGCTTGACTCCCAGCCTCTGGCTGCATGAAGTGCAGGCTCTTGTGCTTGCAGAGGCAGAGGTGGACAGGAGCCGCATGCTGGAGGACTGAGGGTTGCACAATGGGTGGTGCAGGCGCACGGTTGTGCATGGCTAGGGTCAGATCTCAGGGATAGGAGAAGTAGAGAGGCAAGCATGTGCTTTTGCTGTGCAAGATGACAGTGCAATCATCAGAAGCTATGGAGAAACCTACATCAATTCCTCACTCTCCACAAATGAATGAAGTGCGGCCCGGCCTTATCTAAAATGAGTGGCATCTCAGGGCTGAATATTGCTGATTGCTGCTGCCCTGCCAGTGTGTCCACAGCGAGACCAGAGGATTGTAATTTTTAAAAAGATGCTGCTGGTCCTTCTTCGTTTCCTCTTTTATTTCCCTCCCTCCCTGCCTTCTTCCAGTTCCTCCCTCTCATCTATCCTCTTTTTTGTGGATAAGGTTTCTATTTTAGAATGCTTTTCAGAGAGCTTCCCATAGACTCCCTCAGGTCTATTTTTACCACCAGCTAAGGAAAAAAAAAAAAAAAACTATTCATTGGTAAGTGCTAAAGCGTGTTAAAGAAGACTTGATTTGCGGTGCTGCGATAGCTACAGAGAAGCAGTAGAGTTTTGCAGTACCAGAGGCTGGGGCTAACTGAACACAGCAAGCGAGTGGGTTGGGGTCCGTGGATTACTAAGAGGAAACAACAGGAGTGGGGATTTAAACTGAACCAGCCTAGCAAGACCTTTTTCTTCTGAAGATGGGCCAGGGTGGTGAATCACCCCTGGGGTGCAGTGGGCAGTGAGAGAAATAAGTGGATGCAGAATGGAATCAGATGCGGAGGGGAGATGCTTCTTGCTAAAATAAACTGCTCAGCAGAGACTGCTATTGTTGGATTTCTGAAGAAAGTGCACACCCTGTCTTGGGGGAAAGTTTTGAAGCCTGAAAAGATTGGCTAAGGAAAGACTCAAATTTTACATTGTTATAGTGTATCTGTCATAACTAAGGAATGTACGCTAATTTTTTAAATATTGGTACCTTACAATCACTTTCCTTCAGACAACCCTCGTGACACTTTTAAAGGCATTTTTACCATCCTGTCTGTTAGCTGCTTTCAGAATGTATCCGCACACCTCAGAACAGCACTATCCCAGCTCATTTGCCCTTCTGCACCGCGACAGTGTCTTGACAACTTGGGTTGTAGATTTCATGCAGCGTCCTACAACTCAGGCTTGTCTGATCTTCTTTTCCATGGTCAGATTGTGGTGACAGAACTAGGGAAGACCCCAGCAGGGAAGCCCCCTTGCCAAGCCATCCTATCAAGCGTGTCCACTATGCCAAGAGGACTGACCACTGTCACTAACCTTGACTGCCCAGCAGAGGTGGCGTCTGCCCAAGGTTCTGCTAGGGTACTGCCCTCCTCCCCTTTCTGCCCTGCAGTCCTAAGCCACCATGCAGTACACATTTACAGAGCCATGACATCTATCTACATGGATCATCTGTTAGTCCTCCTGTGACAGATTTGTCTATTCTCTTACATTTATTTAGTTATTTATTTGGAAAAATATTCATAATAACGGGCTCACAGGTATTTATAGGCATTCATTTTGCACTTTGAGCTATAACCTCATACTTCTTTATATAATTTTTTGCTCAGATGACTAAGTATTCAGCGAGTGGGAGCTCTTTTAGTTGGCTCTTCTATTCTTTTGGCAGTGGAAACTGCACTTTCTCAACCACATGTCTAGAGGTTTTCTTTGCTACACTACCCCCCGTGGTGTTCACTGGGGATCACCGGGCAGAATGAGAGATCACTGGGACTGAAGGGAGGTTTTCGAGGAGAGATTGCTCTGCACCTCCTCTGTCCTAGCTGTACTCCTCAGTGTGGGGAGCGCACCTCATCTTTCTTTCCACTGTCCACATTCTCCAGTAATGATTTGAGAAGTTCATCACAGGCAGGTGTTCGTAGTAACCAGGTAGTGGATGCATATGTGGGGTAGTTTACATTTTCTGCAAACCAAATGCGCGTAATACTATACAGTAGTTGAAAAAGATAAATATCAAGGCGTCAGCCCAGCAGTGGAGTCTGCCATGAACTTAGGGGTTTTCTTCACCTGTAGACTAAACTGGTCTAGGTAATGCAACTGAATCTTCACCTGAGAAACAGAAGTTTCAGTACTTCTCCGTCCTTCTGCCCCTTGGAATCACCCCTGGTTCTTCAAAAATGCTCACACCAAACTCATGAAGTCAGGATCAGTGCTGATGCGTCTTTCGCTTGTCCTCTGGGGCTTCTTGCCTGTAGCTTGGTGTGGGAGCCCTCAAGGTGGAAGTTCTCATCTGTGTCACCACTGTCAGTCACGTGCATGAGTCAGCTTGCATTTGGCAGATGCAGGGTCCACCCTGGGCAGCAGGAAGCCAGCATTTCAAGGAACATGGTATTTGAAAGGAAGCCTCAGCCTGCGTGAAGCAGGAGAGCAAGAGGTCCTGGCGTGACCCGGAGGGCAGCCCCTCAGCCCGCCATGCTCAAGGCTCTTTCTGTTTCCTGCTCCTGTTCTGACTGAAACTGCAGCCACGGGACACCAGAAAGAAAATGCGTTACCTTGTCAAAACAGCAGCGATTTGGGTCTTAGCTGGACCTTTGAGAGACAGTGAAAAATAAAAATCACTGTGTATTTTCTAAGTAAAGTCCAATGTGACCAGTTGTTTGGGCAAAAGTGAAAGATTTATTCACAACAAAGCAACCAGTGCCACAAAGAACTAGTAAATGACCAATGTCACAATAGAGCAAATTAAATAACCAGTGAGGGCATGAAAACATGTTAAACCTCATATTAGGCTAAAAATTGTGAAAGAAGTGTAACACTATGACACTTCACACTTTCTGACTAACAAAAGATTTTTAAAAACATGAGTAATTAAATTGTATATTATAGAGCGAGTGTGATGGTGTACACCTGTAACCTCAGGACTTGGGACTGAGGCCAGCCTGGGCTACAGTGAGACTTTATCTAAAAAACAAAACAAAACAAAACCCAGAAAGAAACAAATAAATTGTGTATTGTAGAGCAATGAAACAATCTATAATCTAAGCAACACAAACACAATTCACCAACAAAATGTTGCCTTCAAGAAATGCAATAAAATGCAACTAAACAGAACACGTAAGATTCTCATTCTAAGGTCTTAAAACACAGGATGCTGATCAAAAGAGAAGTGCAGAGGGCAGTTTCCTCCAGCAGGGACTTGCAAGTGGCCTCAAGGGAGCTCCCCAGGGCAGGCAGTGTTCCCTCTCCCGAAGTGAGTTGGTCACACTGTAAGATGCATTTGTGAAGGTTCAGTGAGTTTATCACTTATGCACTTCTCCTCATACATTTTATCTCAGTATGCATCAAAAAGGTAATGCTATGTTTTAAGAACTAGAGGTAAACAGGTAAACACATGAATAAGAATACAAGTTGGAATCTTTTTCATGATAAATAATGGATAATTTGTCTGAAGGTGCCAATCACCTATTGTCTTGGAAACCCGTTATCAAGAAAGTTCAGTTACAGATAGTTCAGTTAGACTGAAATTAACGTGCATCAGACAAGGAAGCGCCCTCGAGGAGGGCATCATTGCAGAAGAGGGGAACACATCAGAACTGCGGCTGGAGGCTCATCGGAAGGAGGCGAGACCTCAAGATGCAGCAGCAGTAACCAGGACCCTCCTAAGGGATAAACAGCCTTGGGCACTGCACTGTCACTAGCACCACTGGGTCCCCTAAGTCAGATGCCTATGCAGGAGGCAGCACCTGGATCCATCCTCCCACCCACCCTGTCTCTTTCCAAAAGGCCCCTTTGTTCTTCCTGTGTCCGATGTCACAGACAGGCAAAGTTCAGGATGCTTGCTTGCCACGTGCCCTGGCTGCACGCCTTGCTTTCCTGTCAGACCTACACTAGCTAAATGCCTGTACTTGTGAGCCTACTGGCTGATCGTAGTTTGACCCATCTTGTGTGCACATGCACACACACACACACACACACACACACACACACACACACACACTCATCTCTCAGGATCTTTCTTTCAGTAACTTTTCCTACACTTAACATCCTCTGTCCTAGAAACTCAGTCTTTGATATGGGGGAGACAGAAATTCAGCACAGCTGACAAACAACAGGTTGGGGGTTATTTTGCCTCCATCACAGCTCCTTTTAAGAACATTTTTAAAATTTCAAGTATACAATTAGATACAAAATAAAAGCAGATAAACATCAGTGGGTGAC